TTTTCCTGGGTTAGCTGCATTTTACCAGCATTTATCTGCATTCCACCCAACTCCACTGACAATACCCATGTGGGAGAACGGCAGGGAGAAATGAAGCACAAAGCAGCCTGAAGGATCTGTACTGGCAGAAGAGGTGATGCAAATTACCACTGGCTATTCCCCTGCTCTGGAAGACGGCAACAGAGCAGAAGCAAGCCAGGTTTCAGACCTGGAACTTCAAATGTAATTTTTTTTGTTAATTTAAACATGTTCTTTATTTTTACAGGCAAAGGGTGAGACCATGCTTAGGGGCAGTAATTTCAATATTTAAGTCACAGTGCTGTGTTCAGTGATGTCTAAGAAACATGAGCTGTCAGAAAACCTGGCTTATTCTCCAGTTACTCAGCACTGGCTGCACCAGAGGAATCCAACAAGGCTGCTTTTCAAAGACACCTCCTGACTGATCATCCATTTCTTGATGCTCCAGTGGGCTTTTCTGGACAGGTCTTCCCTGTTGAGCCCAGCTCCAAACAGCTGCAAGGCGAAATATACTCCCCTCCTTTCAAATTCTTCCCCAGGCTAAAGGAGCATTAATTCTGTGATTAACTACTGAGTGAGGCCAGACCAATTCACAGAATAATGCTGGAGAGGGAGATGTGATCATTCATGCTACAGAAATAGTCAGCAGAGAACATGGCACAGGGTAACTTAAAGGTTTGTGTTGCAATGAGCTGCTGTGATCCTTCCAGCATCACCAAATTATTATCACCAAATAATTTAGAAACCCCCCTTATCAAGGAACTTCTTAAAAACCTTGTAAAAGTACAAATAAATTATATTAACTGGTTCCATTTATCCATGTCATATCTATGCTCATGACTTCATAAAAAAACATTTCTGCTTTTGCTACTTTGATTTTAAAAATATACATTTTTATAACTAAATATTGTTTACTAACGTATTAATTAAATGTCAGTGACGGCTTTTGACACGTGGCACCCAGGGCAAGTAAATAAAATGGAAATTTCTGCTTCTTTATTAGTAATGACAAGGTACTAGTAATGTCTTTTCAGTTATTGTCCCAGCTACCAAGTCCCCCTTTTGTAAGAGCATAAAGGAGGGGCTAATAAGAGACCTTACAGCATCTTGATAAACCTCTATTTTAGCACTTCTGGCAACATCTCTTTAGATTCACGCCACTGTCAGTGGTAAGGGTTTGACCCTGGAAATGTAATCTCATGTACAGCATGTAGGACTTCAGTGTGATTTTCCTGTTTTGTATGAAAGAACAAGGCCAAATTCCTGGTTTTAGTTGTGACTACATAATTATATTGTCAACTGCTCCACGTTTACAATCCTGGTTTTGTCCTATGTGCTGTTTTTCTGTACCTAGCCTTCATCTCTCTCATGTCTTTTACTGAAATTCCTGCTCCTCTCTCGCATAATCAAATATTTATTCCTTAAGTACCACTCAATGCTATGGCCAGTCCCTCATCTCCATTCAGGTAACCAATTCCCATTACCAGCTCTCACCTGTAAGCTGTTTATCCATCCCAGAGCTGGGGGTCTCAGCCCAACTCCCAGTGCACCTGATAAAGCAAGCTACCCTCAAGCACTGCTGAAGCTAATGGCTAATTAAAATACAACCAGCCCTGGGCTGTTTAATTACCCTTTACTGTCAAGCTCAGCACAGAAGATGAGATTTTAAACCACAGGGACTGAACTTTGTCTTGGATCTAGTATGGGCAGAAGCGCCCTGCTGGCCAGGAGGAGCTCTGGCTCCAGCAATACACGTGTAGCTTAAATCCTGTGTGGTGTTCTCCAGTCAGGTTTCTGGCTTTGTGCCTCCCTCCTGGGCTGCAGCCTGGCCCAGCACACCAGCAGCACCTCCAGCTTCCCTGCGGGATGAAGGCTCAGCCCCCTGAGCTCCCCAGGGCACTGCTCCCTGCCCAGGCAGAGCTGCGGGAGCTCTCTGGCCCTGTGGGAAGGGAGGAGCCCCCTCTGCCGCCTCTGGGGGAGAGCAGGGGCTGACTGCACCCTGTCCTTGCTCACACCCCTCTCTGCACAGGCTGCTCCTTCATCCCCCCACGAGGGTTTCTCAGCTGCCCCCTCCACAAACTGTTTCATCAGACACGCTTGGCTACCAAGCCCAAAAAATCCCCAAACCCTGGAGAGTAACTCCTGGGGCTGAGGCCATGGAGCATGACTAATGCAGAGCTGAGAAACCCTGGCAGCCTATGACAGCACAGCTGTAAAGTAATTGTTAATTCTGCTGTTGTTAACAGGAATGCTCCAATTTCTCTCTCATGTGATTCGTCCCATGTTTCCCAATAACTGCTGCAAAACCAACAACCTGCCTCTTCACAGGAGGCAGCTCTCCAGCATGGAAACAGACTGTCCTGAAGTCACCTTTCCCTGCCTCCTCCACATTAATACAGGCAGCAGCAGAAGGCTGGCTCCTATCCTGCAAACACATTTTCAGAGGGAAAAAAAAAAAAAGCCTTTTTGTTATCTTTGAAAGGAGCAACAAAATGTAATAGACCTCTTATCCTGATTGTTTTGCTAGTAAAAAAATGCTCCATCAGAACACGAACTCTTTAGCTGCAAGAACAATTTCTCTTGGTCACCCATTAGTAGGATTTCCTTAGAAATTTCCTGAGGCAGGAGATACTAAGGAGAAATTCTCATCCAACACCTTAACACCAGTTATTTTTACCCTTGGGTTTGAACTTCCCAAAGCTAGGTGCTAATGCTTTGGCACCAGTGTTAGCAGCCAGGGCCTGGAACAGGGAGTCAACTCTCACACTGTGGTACAGCACATTTCCCAAAGAATACAGGATTAGTTGTCAGTGCTCTCAGATCCTCCTAAAACAATGACCAAAAACTGGATTCTTAAGAATGCCATCACCCTCACAAAGGTCTGGTACGGAGGTCAAAATGAAGAGGAAATTGTTTTACATTTGTTTAGTCAGGATGAGTAATTACTCATCATTGGTGCATTCTTGTGAAAAAATGGCAAAATACCCTGCAGACTGCATGCTGCCAAGTAAAAACAGGTAAAATATCATACTTGCTAATGCCTTTCTTATTCCATTTGTGTCAGAATTTGAACAAGGGTGAAGAGTTTAAAAAAACCCAACCCTTTAGATTCCATTTCAAAAACTTAGTGCCCCCACACAAATGCATAAGGTTCAGCCACCCCTGAAAGCCACATTATCACCAGGAGGATGGGCTCTAAAGCAACTCATTTGGAGCCAGCAGTTGTCCCAGCAAACAAAGCATTTGATGGGCCAGACTCTGACCTTGGTGCTCATCATCTCCCAGTAACTCACTGTCTCTGGAACCAGTCTTGGACAAACCCCTGCCCCAGGGAATTATTTAAGATGATAAAAAAGGGACCTTCACACCAGCACAGAGAGGAGCTCTCCATATCAGCAAATCTGACCCACTAGCACAGGCTGCTATGCAGAATTCCTGCCTAGGATCAGTGCTGCCTGGTGAGGCTCCTTAAGGCAAGTAAGAATTTGTCAGGGCACAAAACCCTCATGCAGGAGTTCTCCAAGGCTCAGTGCTGGCAGCCCTGAGCACCTATTGAAAGCAGTGAAGAGGCATTTACACACTGCTTTGGCAATCAGCGAGTTATAATTAGTAATCAACATCAGAAATGTGACACTGGTATATACATTTCAAATTTCCAAGTATGCTTGTCTTAGGAACAAACCCAGGTAGCTGATAAAAACATCATGAGGGCCTCAGTCTACAGTCTGGCCTTACTCCCTTCAAGGCACTTTGCTTTTAATTTCAGTGTTGGAAGAAAAATACTTGCAGAGTTAAGGCTCTGGCTCAGAACTCTTGCTGCTTCTTTAAACAGGAGCTGCACTGCATCATGTTATCTCCCTAAGCAGCTATCCCACTTTAGCTTCCTCAGAGGTCAGCTCTTATCTCTGCTAAGTACATCCGGTGTAGAGAGGAAATTCCTTAATCCTATTCTGTGTGCTTGTTTCATATGCACAGCCATAATTCTCCCACATCCAGCCTGGGCCATAAAATAAAAATCCTTGACTGCCACTACTGCTCTGTGCTGTACAGGAGACAGATGTCCACTGGGAGAAGTTTGCTGGGGCTGGCTCTTAACTCTTGTATGCTACAGCAGAGGTATGTAAAATTAACAGACATGACTTAAAATGCAAAGCAAGAAACTGCATGGATTTTCATGTCTACTAAATGCTAACTACTGGAGTTCACAGCTTTTGAGGAATACAGGAATCAGGAATTTGACAAAAATTGGCAGAAAGCATGTGCCTCATTTACTCAAGAAGTGTATTTCACTTTGGTGTTTTTACTTAAGCCTCCTAGACAAGAACTCCCTCAAAGCTTATTACAGGATGTTTCCTCCTTGCACTGGGGCTGACGCAGGGCTCACCTGCCCCTCTGGAGAACAATCTTCCTGCAGCCCTAGCACGTGCTTACCTAAACAAATCCTTCTAATTTTAACTCCCTTTCAATTACACTTGGCTTCTGGGAAGGAGAAAAAGAAAAAGGCAGCACCAGGATGTTTCCATGTCCATCTGCAGCCATCAGGAGAAAAAACAGACAAACCAACCAGACAAACCAACCACCTCACCTCCACCTGTGGTGCCAGATACCATCCATGGGGCATTTGCAATTCCCTGGTTTTGTATTATCCCTGGTAAAACTGACCAGCCAGAGGGTCTGTTGGAAATAGGAGGCAGAGATACTTAGGTCACCAGGAAAAACACAAAACCCATAGCTCCTTCCCAAGCACATTTAAGAATTCTCACAAGTGCCAACGTGAAGCAAGTCCAACTCTCATTCAGAAACACACTTGTGCTATAGAGGCCCTGCTTGCACATCCCTTGTTTACAGAATAGCTTACAGGATAGTCACTCATTTAATACCTGGGCATTTTTCTTATCTTAGACAAGAAAAACTTCCCTCTGAGAAAAGAAAGTGAGTTTGCTACACCTGAAAATTAAATGAAACAGTTCAACCAAAAGCTATTTATCACTGCATGAATCTTTACTGACCCATGAGGTTTTTAATATACATGAAAAATAGTTTCTGGATTGATTTTATTTCTATACAGAAAACACCTTCTAAGCCCTGCTTTCTTGAATGACACCCTTCATCTCTTGTTGGGCAGAGTACTGAAATACAAAATTTTATACTATACAAACAATTTCAACAGAATATTTAACAAAAGGGAGTAAAAAGTTTAATACTTTTTTAAAAAGCAATATAAAAATCTGCATTAGGAGTGAAATGCAGGTCCATCCACTCATCCAGTCTGCAGAATCCCTTAATCATTTTCTCCTGTAACAAAGAGGTGCACATTCTTCTTGGACTGTAGCATTTGAGCGGTGCGGTCTATGCCAACCACTGCAGCCAATTTCTGAGCATCATACTTGGAGTAGAGCACAGTGCAAGTCCAAGTAGCATCCACCCCACTGTCTGTGGCCTTCAGCATGTTGCAAATCTCACTGTAGAAGTGGGAGTATGTTGGTAACTCGTAGAAAATGAGGTTCCTAATGCCTTTTATCGTATACCTGCAGCAGAAAAAATAAAAACAAAAAAAATTCAGGCAAATTTTACAAAATATGCATGGTAAAACATCAGTCCTCTATCAAGTCTTCCAGTTTCTATCCACCTCAATGCACATCAGCTGCAGCTCGACTTCACAAATCCCATGTCACGGACTGAAGACTAAACAGAGAAATAGAATTTATGGGGAAAATCTCACAATGCCAGGCACAATGACTTCCCCTAAAGTACCAACCACCACCAATTTATGAAGTGGTCAGCCTCTGCAGCTTGGATTTTAATACAGTGAAGCCTGATCAGACCAAGCCTCATGAAACTTTTCGTATTTGCCAACACATCTGCTAATAGAAAAAAATCCTGTTCCATTAGGAACTTGAAAGCAGCTCCAGTCAGGATGTAACAAATTTTCCAAGTGGCCTCAGCTTGCTGTATTGCATTATTGAACCAATTATATATTCCTTCCAAAATTTTATACAATTACTGTGGCACAGATGAACACAAATAAAAGGCCCAATGAATCCCATTTGCAGGCTGTATCATCCTGTCCTGACATCACTGGAACTTGGAGCACTCATCTTCCTGAAAAAAGCTCTGCTCATGACAAAATATTAAAGTCTCTGCAAAGGGACTGCTGACAACAGGCAAGAACTTGAAAGTAAACTTAACAACTCTTACTTCAGTCAAAGAAGTCCTCAGAGGGATCCAACAGATTCAAAAAGCAGCACAGCCCATCTATGACTAAGGTCAGACTCTACCTTCAGAACAGCGCACACAACTCAGAGGGAAAACTCAGTACACAACTGTTGTCATCTTATTGCAAAGCTCCCCTATCTTCTTGGTGATTTCTCATGGGCATCTCCTCACAGCACTGACTCCTTCTTCACACCACAGCCAACAAACTCCATCTCTCCTCACCCAGCTAACCCATTCTTTTGTAGCACAGCTATTAAGGCTGTGTCTAATAAGAACACTCAATAGGCTGTGGCCTATTAAGGGCAGGCCTGTTCCTAATCTGTGGTGATCAGTACAGCTGCAACTCCTCAGGGGTGAGACTGCCTTCTGTGCTATTCTCTTACATTCTATCCCTCCACACACAACTCACCTTTTGTAGAAGTGGAAACGCTCAGTGAACAGCAGGAACTGCTTCTCTCCCTTGAGGAAGAAGCGCCGTGCCCTGCAGACAGCAGCCTTTTTGGTGTATTCACAGATGTGAGTGAAATTCAGGTCCTCTTTCTTGAAGTAGTTGCGAAGGCGCACGTAGTCGAAGTAGGAGGGGACGTAGATGAGCGTGTGGGACATGATGGCGTCGCGGTACTCGGGCAGAACTTTGTCGATGAAAAACTGAAACCTCAATTTAAAAAAACAATTATGTTTTAACCAGAGTGAAACCTCAGCTTTCTAATACTGATATGAGCTCAGACAGGAGTATCATCAAACAACAGACTGCCAAAGATTTTCACAACTTTTTTCCTTCTTTTAACTTCACAGGATTTCTACATGTGTAGAAGATAAAAGGCATTACCAGCACTACACAACTGTGGTATTGAGATTGGTATTTCTTCCCCAGACTGTATTCTCCAGTGCCTTTGGCAAGGAGAAGGTCAGTATTTCCCTCCACCTCTACAGAGCCCAGCCTACACCTGAGGAATAATGAAGATGTACTTGTGTGGTGAGCCCACAGTGTGCTCTGCAGTACGCTCCACTGAGTCTGAAATTGCAGTCATTAGGGCACAGCAAAACAGTCTGAGACACACAGTACCTGCCATCTATCACAGAGGTTACACTGTCAGCTTCTAATCTCCGAAAAACATGAGGAAGCTGGACCACAACGTGGCTGATGGAGCCAGTGAGCGGCACGTTGCGGATGGCCACCTGTGAGAAGGAAGTAGGATGTTCAGGGAAGCAGCATTCCAAAGGCAGGCACATTGCAGACAGCTTTTTGCAGCTCACATCTGACAGCACTATTTTTAAGAAAAACAGTGCAGAAGGCTGTTTTTAAGAAAGCTCCAATACAAAGCTACAGTCATGATAGACAAACCAGGTCTGTTAAATGCATGATGACTGCTTATGTCCTGAATCCTATACATTTGAGATGGTCTCCTGAAGTTTTTGCTTTTCCTGTTTCTTTCAAAATACTAACAGTTCATGCAACTTACACAGTAGGAGATAAAAAAGGGAAGCAAACAAACTCTCCATTTAACAACAGAGTAAGTAAAACAAAATAACTTGAGTCTGTCAAATTAAAAAACCCCAAATCCAATTTCTGACATGAAACAGCAGCTACTATGAAAGAAAAATATCAAATAAGCATCACTGCATGAGGAGCAGCTCTTCATGCCTCTGGCACAGTATGTAATGTCATGGATTCAGACTGAATCATCTGGGTGAGGGAAACAATAGGCACACAGTCTTTCAGCAACTGAGTTACAGAATTTTTCTGCAATTGGGTTTTCTCTTCCTCTCCCCTCCCTTGCACACCAGCATTCCAGCTGCTCTGTGAGCTCACCTGCCCCATGTAATTGAAGCAGTGTTTGTTGAAGACAGAGTTGATCTGGGGCTCCTGGAGGGCGCTGAACAGCAGCGTCTGCCGGTAGTACTTGGACCAGTTGTTGAGATTCAGCATCCGCACTCGGGAGAAGTCCACGCCGTGGGAGTCCAGAGGCAGCAGGTTAATGTGCTTCATCAGGTGCTGCACACACACATGAAGACACATCACTGCTGACATCCCTGACTGCCTGCAAAAATCTCAACTGCAGTGGGAAAGAGGGCAGGGACCAGCAAGGCAGCACAGAATATAAACAAGCAGCACCTCCCAAGACACCACTGTCTGGAATTTATTGACCACAGCAAGAGCAATTTACTTGATTTCCTGCCACAGAACTGAAAGCTACCATCTCTTTAGTCACCAGGAACAGCAACTTTCTAATCTTCTCCTGGGGCAACTATAATGGATTTGTTTGTACTAAAGGCAATGGGCCCAAGGTTTCTGAGCTAAAAGAAGCCCAAGCACAGCACAACTCTCATCACATTCGGGTAGAGTTTGAAGAAATTCGCCACATTTTACCCTCAAGGAACAATGCCTAGGACTGGCATCCCTGCCACCACTTGGCAGGCAGTTGCACCTAAAGGGAAAAACAGAAAACAAACTCCAAGACTCATTCTGTGGGTATTGTGTAGGCTCATGTGCCCTTTCTGTGACTCCTGAGGGAAAAAGACCTTCTGGACTTATCCAAAATGCATAGTGACATCAAGTAGTCAAAATTCCTGGTCCAGGTACCTCAGAGGTGTTTTAATGTGGAAAAGAAAAGACTAGCCACAATGCAAGAGCTCTACTCGCATTAAATGTACAGGAAACCCTTCATACTGTTTAACTCTGTACATGACTAATGCTTAGTATGTGCAATCAGTGGAGACATGCACCAGCTCCTCTTGCTTCCTGGAGGAACCTGAAATAGGCTGCCCAGATTCCTCACATGGCTGCAATCTGACTGAGACACTGGGCAGTAGACAGCTGGCATAATTTCACCCAGATGTGATTAAAGGAATCATCATTCTTAATGCTGCAAGATAATTAAAACTGTCCAAAACCACCTTTGATGAAATACACTACTAAAGCACCAAACTAAGTTTTAGAGAGAACATGTACTACTACCCAAAGTCTGTAGAAAGAATATTCTTAGTATAAGGAAAATATCAGGGTGGAGGGAGGAAAAGAAATAAACATCCATGTCTAGAATCAAGTCAGTAAAAAACAGCAATACTGCTCACTGCCAAAACTGAGCAACATCAGACCAGCAAGACACAGCACAGCACAAAAATGAATGGACATATATGGGAAACACAGCACAAAAATGAATACGTATCTGGAAAACTCACCAGAACGTGTTCCCAGTTCTGCATCAGGTAAATGTCTGCTTGATCAATGATGAGGATTTCTATTGATGACAGAAAATCGAAGTCTCTTTTCTTCTCTCCCTCTGCACCAATGACAGTCCTGATGCCCAGGGGAGAGGCAATGATGATGTCTGAGGAGTAGAAGGGTGCATAGAGCCTCATGCTCTTCTGCAGGATGGCAACCCCTGTCCAACAACACCAACAGCAACTTCTCAGTTAACATCAATTATCAACCACGTTCCTCCAGGAGGCTCTGGAACAGTAATTTCTCCCATTTCCTCTCCCCACACTGATGAATATAGCTGGACACAACTAATCTGTCTGAAACTCTCCTTTCCCCATGAAGTGCATATCCACCCTACCCCTATTTGACAAGCATGTGGAAAATTTTCATGCAGTTTGGCAAAGCATTTCTGTATTATTTTTTAAAAGATTTTTCATAATTTGAATGAAAATTTTTAACTGAAACATATTGTTTCTGATTTTCTGCTGAACAGGGGAATGAGGAGACTAAACAACTTAAGAAAAAAAAATGCAGAAATTATTAACTACTCCTTTCTCCCCGAATCCTGAACTTTGGGTGTTATAGTAACTGTTACTTTAATCTGTCATGAAAGATTTGGGGTGGATCTCTGGACAATCAACTCTCATTATTCACAAGGCTGAATGATTTGCTACTAAACCAAAAAGGACAAGGTTCTTCATGCTACAGTGACTAAAGTCTTGCACCTACACTGCTTCTCACACCACATGTTGCAGGGTACATTCTGAACCAGCCTATGCACCACCTCTCATGTTAGAGACACGAAAGGGAAGGAATCAAAGGAGTTTGTGTCATAACTATGTGGCAGCACTTCCAGACCCACAGTTTCCTGGTCTTAAAAATGCAGCTAGTGCAGACCACATTCAAACCACCCCCCTCAATCTGCCCAAAGTCTCTCCAACTTCTCTCCCTGTCCATGTGAAGGCAGATAGCACAGCTTCACCTGAAGGCCCTTCTAAGAATTTCAGAGACAGCAGCAGGGACCCCTCCTGCTGTCTATTTCAACCCAAGGATAAAAAATGAAAAAACAAAGAAAAAAAGAAAAGGTTCAATTGGTTGAATTTCCAGGAAGAGGATATCACTTGTCACAGCATATACACAGTTTAGAAACATCAAGTCTTTTTTCTGTTTAAAAATGTGAAAGAATGGTGGTTTTAGTAAGGCATAACAAATGTGCTTTAAATTAGATCTTTGTGCAGAAGTAACAGGGTGTGCAGCACAGTAAGAAAGAGAAATTATTCTGCTTCTATAATCTGCCTCTGCAAGTTAACAGCACTGAAAGTTTCTTCAATCATGTCTTAACACTTAGGAAGTGCAACAAGCAGAGTGTGGTATGGGAGAGGACTGAAAGGAAAATTATTATGCTACTGAAAGTAAGATGCTCTCAGCCAGAGAGATATTCACTGGGGAAGGAAGAAAGACTGACTGCAACCTGCACACATCTTCCACTGTATCATTACATTTCTTGGGGTGCCAATTTATCTTTCAAGGTGCAGTATTTCAAAAGCCTCTCATCTGTCAAGTTACAAAAACTGCCTTCTCATCTTAGCAGCTCCAGGAACCAAGCCATCAGCTAGTTCTATGCATACTGAGTTACTAAACAGCATAAGTTTACAATATTATATGAAACAGTCTCACATTTTCTGCTTGTCCAACACTCCTACTTGCTGGCTACCCATTTGCTTCCATGAAAACCATGGGAAGCACAGCAGAAAACTGCTTTGCTCAGTACTGAGCTTTAATTTTGTTCCAACCATTACACGAGACATTGTGAACAGGCTAATTAAACCCAAAAGATTTTTTTTTTATAACATGAAAAGATTTTGCTGCATAATCAAGGCTATCTTCAAAATGAGGTGTGGGCAGTCCTGCTACAATAAAGCTGTCATTGCATTTTAAATTATTCTGAACTTGATGTGAAAATAATTACTTCTCTATTTTCTCTTCCTTTTTAAGTTCTGGAAAGGCAAGAAAGATTTTCAGAAAAATCCAGGTTGCCAGGGCAAAACCAGCAGGAATACCACACAGCCTAGAGTCTCACCAAACTCCCAGCTCTGATGGCTCTAAGGCATTTGGGAAAAATTTGTTATGTAGCAGCTCTGTACAAGCCAAAAATCATCTGTTCAGTAGGTTATTACCAATTCTGAAGTGGTCATCAATGTTGCCAGCAAAGACAGCTTCATAATCTTCAGGTCTTTTCAGGTTGGGGGGCTTCTCTTCTGGGTCAGAGCCATACTCCCCTTTGAAGCGCTTTTTATTACTCACATCTATTTTCTTCTTGTCATTCACTTCGAGGAGACTGATGAGAATATGCACAATGCGCAGCGCACACTCCCTGAAGGGCACTATCATCAGCACCTGTGCAGATCGACAGTGACAGAGAGTAACCCATCAAACACAAACACTCGCCATTAAACATATGTTAATTAAACCTGGCTTGGATCTGCCCCCGTGGGGCATCCCAGCAATCCAAACAAAACCATTCTGACAAGCAGTAGGGAGGGAAGATGCACTGGGATGCACTGCTCTTGAATTGGTCCTGGCCAGCAGCTCAGCCTGGCTGCCCATCTCACTCAGGGGAACTGAAAACTAAGCATGTTCTCCAGGCAAGCAACAGCTCCTGTGACACAGAGAGAGACAGGCTCTTGGATGGGTGGCAATACTTTCTGCACAGAACTCCAAAATATAAATGGCTAATGGGGGAGTCTACACAGAAACCAGAGATTTGCCAGGCATGCAGCAAACACTGAAAACCAACTCTGGAATTGTTCAACAGGCAGCTGGCACACCAGGGACTGGCTGTCATTGTTGAATCCACCCGGTTATCAACTACAGGATGCTGTGAATCCAGGAAGGACTGGTTTGGGGCCCAAACAGAGAGATCCTTTCATGCAGACAAGGCCTTACAAGTGCCTAAGGACAAAACAATTTCTGGCACATCTCACGTTAAATGACAGCCTACGCTACCTGCATGGATACTGAAGATTGATACGGAGGCACCTGTCTGCACTGGCAGATTTAAATATGGGAGCAGGAAAACTTATCAGTCTGTGGTGATAGGGACAAAAAAAGAGATTAAATCAAACCCATGGCTTGGCACAGAACCAGGCTGGCTAACAACCCTGAGCTCACTGCTTCTCACACGGCATTCTCCCTGGCCATGGAGGACAACTTCAAGGCATGATGAAGGAATGTAGAAAGGCATATGCCCAGGAACACACTCCCTGAGAGAGCAGCAGCAAAAACACTTGTGGGCAAACTGCCAGGATGTTTGTACAGCCTGAGCAGGCAGCCAGGGCGGGGGTCATGGAACCAGAGCTCCCTTACCTTAGGCCTGGTGAGCCCCTGGTCCCTGTGGGCATCGGTGTCGGTGCCTGGCTTTCGATCCCTCCGGCGCGCGTTGTTGCTGAGCACCTGGGCGTTGGCCTTGAGCACGTGGTTCAGGGCATGCAGGCAGTACGCGTGCCGAATCTCCTCTCCGTTTGTTAGAGCAGATCTCTCTGGATAGAACAAGTCCCGGTAGGAATTCATGACACAGAACAGCTCTCTTTGTAACGGGGTAAAAGAGGAATCCGTTGGTTTGTCCGCTGCTGACAGGAACTGTTTATTCACTTTTGGCCAAGTGGATTCCAAAGGCTTGTGGAGATGAAGCTGTTTCACATCAAATTCTTTGTCTGCTTTGAAAGTTTTCTGTTTCTCCAAAGTGGAAGAAAAAACTACTTGACCCAGCCTTGGCCACTGGAAAGAAAATAAGCCAACAAAACTGAGGAGTCATATGTACCTAACCTTGCACACTTCAAAGCATATCACCACAGCTGGTGATATCAACTTTAATCAAGTTCGTGAGATTAAGGAAATCATCTTTTCATAATACAATATTTTTGCATTTTTTTTTCAATATGCAATCCCTTTGAGAGTCTGCCAGGATAAATGACAATAAATTTCAGCTTGGTAGATCTGGATGGATCTTGCAATGATGTGTCTGTAACTGTTCCCATGCCAGAGGAAGCTGAGGAATTTTCTGCCTAACCCACCCAGCAAATCAGTGGCTCAAACCAGGGACGAGATGAGATCCCTGCAGTCCAACTGTGCTTACCAGCTGACCCCAATGAGCACATACTTTGATCAAAGAAGAAAATAAACCCATTAGGGGCTAATCCCAGAAGTTGTGATACAGTTGTTAAATGCAGTCTTGTTGGGTATCTGTCTGATTTTGAACAGCTATCAGTGCAGTAGGGGAAAACTCTAAACTTTAAGCCTTCTGCCATGCAAGTTGTCCCCAGCTGTCCCCGTAAAGTAGCTACACCAATTTAAGCAAAGATATATCATGCATTGCTTCAGGTGGCACTGGTAATTTTGGCCACCATGTGCCAAAAAAGTAAATTAAATTTCAAAAAAATCACAGCTTTCCCTCTAACTAACCATTGGATATCTTCCAATGAATGTCACCCAGCATATGGCTGACCAGAATGGGAGGCAAGTCTCCAAAACAAAATCAGATGTGGAAACGTTATGAAGCAAAGGTTTGTCTAAAAATGAGTATTTTGAAAACCAATATTCTTTGTCAAGCAATGAGGTGGTTTTCTGGTAATGTAGTTCACATATTATTGCCAGAATTAAGTAATAAAGTAATATAAGCAATAAATTCCCCTTCACTGTCATGTAAATGTGTACAGGGACAGAGCCATCTTGAAGCAAGAATGTGAAAATGCATCACAAGTGGCTTTAAAAGTGCACATGGTCACCTCAGAAGTTCACCTGCAGAGCACATTGCTGGCATTGTGCTGTCACCACTCAGAAACAAGCCCTGTTTCCACCCTTTGTCAAGGTTTTGGGACTACAGCTCAATGTCTAAAGCTATGTGTTTCAGGTGTATCAGCATATGCCTCCAGGAACAGCAGACTTCACATTTCAACTCTTGCCCAGCAGTAAATGAAGAAGAAAACAGTTCAACAACAACACAGTGAAAAAAAAATCTGGATAATTCTAGTGTCAGCAGCTAATAATAACAACTGTGATCTACTTCACTTGTATAAAAAAAGGATTATTTTGATCCAGGCATCTTTAGGAATGATGGATGGCTACAGAAAATTATTACCTGACTTTGACTTGAAGTTTTAGGAAACGTAGACATTTTCTCTATTTCCTTTTCTTCAAGTTCTTTGTCCATGTGCTGCTTAAATGGATCTATTTACAGTAACAACAAAAAAATAGCCTGAGAACTATTGCAGTTAATAGCAGAATCAAGTTGCAGAATGGATTTGCAAATGAGATGAACAGTCTCCATGCTGGCCAACACCACAATTCAAACTAGTTATTTCAAAGCACTTGGAGATGAGAGAAAGGATGTCAAATTCTCTCTGCAAAGAACAGAGAGAACAGATTTGACAGATTGCTTTTAAAAAAGAAAAAGAAGCACTTATGGAAGTACTAGAATTTTCAAGCACTAATGAAACGTTAGACAGGAAAACAGTATGTACTGGAAAACAGTGGCAATTTTTTGCTTTAAGCTCTGGCACATCCATTGCTTGCAGGTGAAAAGGGCTGTCAATAGTAAAGTCCCAAGTGAACTTGCTAACCTTCCTAATTTACAGACAGTTCTGCCCAGTGATATGAACACAGTCTGTAATAAAGCAGAGAAATATTAGGCGAGTTTTGGAGACGGGGGACAAGAATTGCCTGGAGTGAGAAAAAGTCTGATTTATCTAATCAGCATTTCTTTTTGGAAAGGAAAAGAGAGGCAAAGAGCTGTTAAATCACATTATACTCAAAGACACTGGCACGCACAAAGTCACATGCAAAGTTAATTGTGAAAGCCAAGCCAAGTATCCTGCTTGCAGCACAGCAGCATTCACTGCATAAAGAAAACTAATTAGGGAACACTGGTGCTTGCCAACAAATATCCAGCCCACACACAAGTTACCCGGGCAAAAGTCAAGACATTTACTGATCATGACAATGAAAAAAAATTGAGAAAATCTTTCCAGAAATGGAAATGAACTGGATATCATTTAATTGTACTGCAGGGTCTCTCCTCAGTTGAGTTTTACAGATTCCAACATTTTCCCAATAAAGTAGAGGGAGTAATGGGGTGCATTTTCAGGAATTTTAGTGACCCCAGGACCAGAGTAGAAATTAATCCTCTTTCTGCTGTCTAAGGTGGTCCATTTTCTGTAATAGATTATAAAGACACTTCCAAGCTGCAAGAACCCACTGAGAAGTAGTGCATCGTTTATAGGTGGAACAAAGCTGTTAGGATACTTAGCATGCAGTTGGAGAGCTACTGTTCTCATTAAAATGCAATGCCAGCAGCTTAAGTCATATTCTCATGGTAACAAGAACGAGCTGTTTTTTCTATCACATGGCCCTTTGATGCTTCCACACATTTCATGTATCACCCAGGCTGCCTCCCAGATCTAATGTCAGCTGCTGCTCCAAGATGACAAGCCAGCATCACTGGGGATGCTACAAACATATTTTTCTCTCTCAAACGATGCCATCTGATATTAAAGGCACAGAGCATTAAATATGAGCAGAAGCTGTGCAAGAACCAGTGCGTGCCCTGTCGCTGAAGGATCGCACACCCCTGCAACACAGTTATTTTGTTACATATGGTGGGACAACTCCAACACTGGAGCTCCAGATGCATCCATGAAATGTATCCCTTTTAAGGGATACACCCTTAAAAGACACTACATGTGCTCTGCTGATGTTCCACTCTCTCCCGATCCTGGTGCAGCCAGACTCCCCTGCATAACCTTCAAAATTCTGAGAGCGCTGAGCATTTGTCTAAATTACTGTGGCTGCTCCAAGCTTCTCAGAATCTGACCTCTAACTCCACTGAGATGTGAAGGATGCCCTCACAGGTCAGCTTTGTGATTATCTACTGTGCTGTTTGTGCCAAGAACATCTTCCATAGTCAAGTGCAGGCTTGCAGAGCTCTTTGTATTACAGTGGCTTTTAAAACTACTATTAAAGCAGCAGAGCAAGAGAACATCCTTCACACACTTTTCTAGCCCCTGATACTTTAAGCTTTACCAGTCATAGCAGAAATCCCACATGAATCCCAGTCCCCAGGGGCTACAGAGAACAAATGGCTCAGCTACACATCTGCATTAGTGTTAAGGGTCCCTTATGTAACCAGCTCACATGTGGGCAGCATGAATAATGTGGTGGAGGAACTTAGAAGCTGTACAGCCCATGGCTAGGGTGTTGGACAATTTAAACATGTTAACACATACTCCTCTAAAGGCAGATCCTTAAACACAAACACACAGTTTTTTACCTTCTGGAAGAGCTTGTGAAGAACTGCTGTCTTTCCTATCTGCATTGCAATCTCCACTCTCCTCTTCCATGAAATTGGTTTCCAAGCTAAATTCAGATTCGTGTTTCACATCAGTAAACTCCTCAATTACTCCATGATGTGGGTCACAAGGGGTATCTGTGCCATCAGCCTGCTCCTGGCTGAGCATCTGCTCTGCTGTGTCTGACAATTGTGAGAAAGAAACAGGTTATTCTCTCCTGGAAAAGTTACTGTCTGTAGATGTTGTTCCCTTTGAGTTACCAATTTTCTTCTCCCAAAACTCTATCAAAAAAGATAAGAGCAGACTTTGCATTCTACCATAAAGATGAATTTTGGCTAGCATGCCAAATGTTACATAACACAAAACGTGGTCTCCCAGACAAAATTAAAGAAGTAACCTGTTTGGGGAATTTACTTTTAGTTTCTGAAGACCCTAAATAACTGGAGATTATTAAAGGTTGGCTCCTCTCTCCCAGCATTTCTTTGCAGATTTCATGAATGAGGACACCTTGCCATAAAGCTGGAGGTTTCCTTCCAATTTCCATATTCTTTCCCATGCTGTGAGGCAAACCTTTCCCTCCTCTCGGTGGCACAGCCAAGCCAGATGCTGCGTGAGGGAACAGCTTGTGTCTCCCATGAGTGGGTGAGAACCCCTGGTCTGCTGCTCCATGTGGATTTCCTCTGTGCTGCCGCACAAACAACATCTGAGGAAGCAGCAGCAGGCTGTCTGGCACAAAATGAGCACAGCTACCCTTTCCCCTGCTAAATCCTTCAGCAGCTGCTGCTCCCACCCACACAGAGCCAATGGAGCAACAGAGTCTCCAAGGCAGAAGAGCACCCAGCCAACAAGACAGTCTACACCAGGATCCTGGCTAAAAACATACGTCAGTCAAACAACATTCACCAAAGAAGCACGGGAAAAGACAAACCACCTTCTTCCTCCTCTGGAACATCATTCGTCTCTTCTTTGCCTTCCTCTGCTTCTCCAGTCTCCTGGGACCCTTCACTGCCCATTTCTGCCTCACTTTCCTCAGCTTCTTCGGATTCACTTTCATCTTCCTCTTCCTCACTCTCAGACTCAGGCGAGGTCTTCAGGGTAGCCAGGAGCTTATGATATCCAGAGACCTGCTCCACTTCAGTCTCTGAATCACTTTCTTGACTTGATTTATCAGAATCGTCAGACTGGAAAGCAAAACAGAGTGTAAACAGCAACAACAGTAACAGCCTATAAAGCAGCAGGCAAATACCCTTACTTCTACTTGTGCTATTATGTTTCCCCTCTCACACTAAACCTTTACAGAGATGCAATGGAATTTTTCAAACCCCAGCATTTTATGCCAATCATTATACTGGACACCTCCATTTAGGTTTTGAAAGCATCTTGGGAGACGGACTGAAGTGCCTCTTTCTGCACCAATTTGACTTGGAGCACCACAAAACCCAGTTCTTTCAGTGTCAGCTGAGTGAGGACATTTGATCTCCACAGACAAAGCATTTACTGAACCAGCATCAGATTCTTCTAAGAAAACCACACACGGATTGAAAACTGTAGAAAGGCACCCATACAAGGGACAGAGCATGCTGGAAATGCTTCTGGCTTTCAAGAAAGTAAGTGAAATAGCTGTCAGTGGGCAATGGTTCCCTGGGGAGTTGGTCAGGTTTGGTTCAGCTGTACAGCTCTACACTTCAAGCAAGCCAGACTTGAGCCGGTTCTGTCCTGGGCTTGCACAAACCAGTGTCCAGATTACAGCCAAAACTATAGTGAAACCATGAGCATCAACACAACAACATTACCTTCTTTCTTAGTTTCTTTTAGTCCCAAAAGGAAAAAAAATCAGTAAATACTACATTAATGCACAAAATTGCTACAGGAAACAAATGGAACAAAGTAATTAATTTTTCTATATCAAAACTTTGAAGTCTTTTATTAATCTGATCATAAAGGAGATTACCAAATTGTGACTGAAAGCAGAGTAAAGCACTGGCAACCTGAAGAAGGAGTATTAACATATTTCTTTGCTCAACAAAGAACCAAGTCTCCTAACTCATGCAACACTAAGTTTACCAACATTATTAAAACAACTTAGAGTATGATCTTTCACTGTGACTAATACACAAAAAGACTTAAGAACTGCTGTTATTTCCTGCTGCTTCTGCCCTCTGATGGTATTACAGTTTAGAGGCATTCATTACAGAGAACAATTCAGATCCACACAAAAATTACATTCATCTTTTTCTCCTAAACACTGGTTTTCTAAGTGGAACAACTTAATCAGCCTGAAAAAGCTGGAAACGTGAAATGCCAAGTTCTTCACTTCACTAAACTACACAAAGATAAAAGTAAGGAAGGAACAAAAATACATTACCAGTTCACATATTTGAGTTTCTTCTGGTCTTCCAGAAACCCTGAAAAGAAAGCACTAACATGCCTTACTCTGCCAATGATGTTACACACAGGATGAATGAAATGAGGGGAAGAGTGATTTGATGAGTTACACGAGTTTAAAGAATTAAAAGAAAGCTTAAAACCCAACCATCACACATGTCTCCCTAAGAAAACAGACTGGGTGTTTACCCTTAGTATAAACCTTAAGGGTCATCCTCTCCTCTTAGGTGATGTGGCCCTCTGCACACGAAGCCTAAGTGCTCAGGCATTACAACTGATCAATAAAAATTTTGAAATAAAATCCAGTGTTAATCAGAAGATGAGGTCTCAAAAGGAATTAAAAGCACCTAGCTACAAGGGTAGTTTGTAAAAAAGTTAACCAGAGACAGAGAGTACTTCTAGCGCTAAATATTGGTCTGTGAAGGGGGAAACAGACACAAACTAAAGGAAAACCAGCATCAGTTAACCAGTGTTGGGACAGCAGTTCTTCAAAGAAGCCACTGTGCAAGCTGGGCTTAAACTAACCTCAGTTCCTCCAAAAAGATACAGAGTCTTGTGTGGGACTGAGCATCACTGTATAGGTGACACAGGACACTCCCTGCAGTAGGCCTTCCACCCCAATGCAGACAGGCCAGGAGGGTCCCAGGGGACACACAGACCTTAACACCGCGTGCCTGCTCCTACAGGCTTTACAGCAGCAGCACAGATCATCGGGACTAAGCAGCTCCTTCCTCAGAAGTCCATACGTGGGCACAAAAGGAAGGAGGTCATTTTGACAGACGGGCATCCCGCCGAGGAGGGAATGGCTCCTGTCACACAGATCTTCGCTACTCTATTGTCATACCCTTCCCGAGATCAGAAAAGAGCACGGAGTAAACAGTGGGAAAGCTGGAACCCTGACAAGCCAAGAGACTGGCCTGGTATCAAAATGGGAGCCCACCTCACACCACTCCTTTTCCCCACTCCTGGCGGCAGCCTCCGGGCTGCACCACAGGAGTTTGCATTTGTTGCAAGAAAATCCGAGCCGACATTTCCCGCTTTCCGCTCTGCTTTCGACATTCCCGGCTCGCGAGCGGCAGTGCTCCCTGCAGCTGCAGCTCCCCTCCTTCCCTCGGAGCCCAGGCCCAGCCTGAGCGGGAGCGGCGGCCGCCCGGGCCGGCCCGGGCTGAGCGGGGCCCCTCGGCCCTGCAGCCCCGGCACCGAACGGCGGGCAAGGGCCGGCCCCGCCCGGCCCGGCACTCACTTGTCATAGAACGGGTGCTCCTCGCCGAACTCCCGCAGGTGCTTCTTCTGCTTCTTGCTCAGGCTGCGCAGCAGCTCCCGCCCGCCCCGCCGCTTGCCCATGCCGGCCCGGCCGCTCCACGTGGGTGCCCGGCGCGCTGCGCTGTCGCACGGCGGGGCGGTGCCCGCAGCCCGGCGCCGCCCGGTGATGCCGGGAGGGCGTCGCACCCTGGGAAGGCGGGGCCGGGGCGGCTGGAAGGAGAGGCGGAGGGGGGTGAGCTCCGGGGCCGAGCCTCGCCCCGCCGGCAGCAGCCAGCGTGCGGGGTGGGGAGCGGGCGCGCATTTGTTCCTGCGATCCGCGCTGGGGAACGCAAAGTACCGGCAGGGAACGCTTGTCCCAGACGGTGCCCAAATCCAAGCCCGTCTCGACGCCGCTGCCCGCCGCGACCCGAGCTTGGTGCGGGCCGTGACGCGTTTCCGCTGCCGGAGCCGCGGTTGGCAGCGGGGCGGGCACCGCACACCGGCAGGCCGGCGCTGCTCCCGGGCTCGCGGAGCGCAGGCAGACACTACTGGAGCCACCGCACTTTGTCCAACTGACCCGTGATCTGCAGTGCTAACAGCTACACATCTGCTGGGAAAACTACAGTCAGGCTAGAGGAAGAGACCAAACTCAAGTCCTTAATACTCAGGCTTCCTTATTCTAAAAGCAATCAAAAGCTCCAAATGAAACCCCTCTGAAATCTGACTCTTCTGACATGTCACTGCTGAATCTTACTGAGCGCTGCTAAAGCGTGCTTTACTGCATATGGAGACAGTTTTTCAGAAACAACCATAAATTTTGTCAAATACAGTAAATTCAGTTCTTTGCATTAGAAGTTCTTTATACCCCCGTGTTTCTGTATGACCTAGCTGAAACTTCTCTAGTCTTTGGTAACAAAGGGCTATAGATGGTGTTGTAATTTGCAAAGCACACATAATAGGTTTCAGTTTGTCTCTGGAGTACAAGAACTAAGTGAGGGCAACACGATTCCAAAGAGGATGGAGGCATGGAGTATTTAACATTCGGATTGTAGCTTCTTTACTATCTTGACCTGAGGGCACCCATGGGTTTGACTGAAGCAAGCAAGCCCATTAACTGCACTTCAGGTACACAGAAGCCTCTGGGAGTTATCCCTGCATGTTGTTAATCCCATGGTCAGTCTCTTCAATAAACCCCTCTGGCCTGGGGAAAATTGTCTAAATCCAAACCATTCCACGGACCTGCTTTACCCAGTACCCCACAGCACACAGACAGCAGCAGCAGTTGGCTGTGCCCAGCAGCAGAAATTCCCTTGGCAGGTTCTGTCGAAGCTAACATGTTATGTAACAACACTAAAATAAACGATTTCCAGCTAGCAGGGTGTTTTTAGTGAAGTTGGCAGTCATGCTCTGTAAGAGGAAAAATATTGCCAATCAATCCCGCTTCTGTCAGGAACGTGAAAAAGGCACGATATTTTTGTTGCAAAATTGTTTCTTGTTGACTTACAATTTGGCATTGGGAGACAGCAGGAAGAGCAGGAGTCTGTTCAGAGCTGAATCAGGAGAGCTCAGGAACTCTTTGGGGATTGCATTCTTGTGTATTAAAAAGAGAAAATTATAAGACCTTGGTGACAGAAAGCCTGTAGCTCGGACTCCAGTGTGGTTTGTACACTCTTTCCAAAATTCTGGCTATGATGGCATTTCACACTACTTTGTGGAGTTTCAGCCTGCTTTTAAATATTGCCTTATGAATTAAAAATGCATGGATCCCATTATTTTGTTTTGAATGCTGGCACTTGCTTCTGTGGCCATTTATTCACACTTTTTTCACCAGAATGGGAAAGTTTTTCTAGCAGCTTAGAAGATTTGGTCCTGTAGCTTGAAGTCTATCCTCACCCCCTTTTCCTCTTTCCATCCTGACTTCAATTTAACCATTGAAACCAATGATGATATTCCTGGAATTGCTTCCCTCTTTCTGTTCAACTCCTTCCTCCCTCTTCCCCATTCCTTGTGTGAGAAGGATCCTACTTGGGCAGTATTTGGTGTTTAGGATTAACTACTTAAAATGTTGTGGTGCCATTGATGTGTGTCTTAGAAGATATTTTTCCCAGGAAATGAACACCTCAGCTCTCTCTCGTGAGGCATGGGCAGTAAAGCAGCACTGATGCTGATATCCCATAGACCAGTGAACATGTAACCACTGTTACACGATAATCTCTTTCTTAAATTACATCTCTCCACTTGAAAATTTTAAATAACATTTTTAAATGAACTTGTGAAATCACCCTGGAGCTCCTAGTTGCTAACATGGTAACGTATCACCAGCAATATTCTTTTTATAGATTTCTTATGCACCAGCATCTCTGATTCCAGCAAAAATACTGGAAAGAAAGGAAGGAGAAAAGCCTGCATTATTTGAAATCTGTTCTGCTGACCCCATTCTGTCAGCAACCACAACTAAACCCTGTCAGCAGAAATGTGCTGCTGCTACCTGTGTGTCTCCAGCCCTTTTATCTGCATGATGTTCCAGAGACAGATGGTTTATAAAAGCCACTTTATTTTAGAGAACTCTACTAATTTGAATAGATTCCTCCTTGTTGGCTTACTGCCTTCACTCTTTTGTCTCGCACCAACTCCCTTTCATGCCTTTCTTCATACCTGCTTTTCCACCTCAGTTTTGCCCTGCCCCTTGTGAGATTGTTTTCGTTTTAGTGCATGTTTTTAATTGAAACAAATGTGTTGATCACACACTTTCTATCCAAATTCATGAATGGAGAGCTAAAATTTCAAATCATTTTGCCATAAGTTTCTTAGGCAGTGTAAATTGCACGATGGACTCTCGTATATAGCTTATAAAGTTGAATGTTTATTTATTAATATTGTATGCACTTCTGTGAATATAATGAAAAGAAAGATGTGTAAGCCACAACACTGGCTCATAGCAAAGAGAAAGGTAAGAAAGGAGGTCATGTCTTCCCCCTCTGTACATCACTCCTTTCATATTCAACCTGGAATTCTAGCAAGGTGAATCACACAGCTCTGCTGTGATGCAAGGCACATCCCACGTGGCATACATTGCCTTTGTATCAGGCAATGAAATTGCTGATCCTGATAATTTTGCTATATGGATGCAAAACTGGGCACTTCAGACAAAGATCATTTAAACTTTGGATGTCTGACTCCTAGGAACACAACAGAGCATGCTCAAACTCTGATGTCTGTAAATAGTGTGAAGCATGGGGTATTTATTGCAACTACAAATGTTCTGACTGAAAAATCAGAGGAGTTGGTCAGAAGGAAGGAAGGTTACTTGAGAGGAAACCTAAAGCAATGGTGGGAGTGGTGCTGTTGGCACTTGCTAAGCAATGTGGCAGGAAGCAAAAATGGAGAAATGCGGTATAAGTAAGGGAAAAGAAGATGGGAAATAGTTTATCCAACATTGATAAACTGATGACAGTCTGCCATCCATAATATTAAACTTGACACAAATGTGAAGTGGATTTGGAAGAATTTCAGCATTCAGAAGCCATCTAGTATAAAAAGGAGATGGTGAATTTATATTTATGCAAATATACACATACTTTTACATATATAAGTAAAAATAAACTTTAGCTTTCTACAAACCTTTTATAGATTACCACAGTCACCAATCACAGAACCAAGTAAAACTTCTTTTCTTTATAGCAGTTCAGTCTACTTGTACTGGAGTTATGAGCAAAAATAACTTGATGAAACAAGAGTTTATATAATTTCTTTATAAGAGAAACTTTATTTAACAATGGACTGTCTCAGTAAATGAGGCTGATAGGAGCAATGAATTTCAGTACTAATGAAGTACCTGGTGTGTTCATGACTTTACTTCAGTTTCTTCTACTTGAGGTAGTGTATCCCAAACAGGTTTCTGAATGTGTTCTGGTATTTTCTCTATCTTAGTCTAAAAGGAAAGAAAAACAACCACTTACTGTACCAGCCAGCTCACATCTAACTACTTTGCTTTATTTATTCTGGTTTGAGACATGAATCAGGTTTAAAATGCCATCTAGTGGCACTTCCAAGCAATAGAGCCTCTTTAGCATCCACTATTTTGGAAAATCTTCCTAGCAAACTACACCCATTTTCTCTGACGACTTTCTGAAGGCTTCAGTAGTTACTGGTACTCGCATCAGGACTCATAACAGTTAATAATAATAATAATATGGGGTGGAAACTGACCTTTTTCACTTCCATGGCAACCCCTTCAGGTAAGTTTCGTTGCACGTACTCCAAGTAAACTGCAGCAGTACTGCTTGTTAGGTATTTTAACTAAAACAGAAAGAATTTTTTTTAATGAACTACTATTAATAATACTTCAAACATAATTAAAAATAAATTTCCCTGGCTTCTTTAGCCCTTTCTATGGGGACCAAACATCTTACAGGAAGCCAACTTCCATAATATTCTGAACAGAAGCAGTTCATCTGTACTCAACTCTCATGCAAGTGTAAAGTAGTTACTTCATTCCACAGAACTGCATATGCTGCCTGGGAGCACATGCACTGATTATGACAGAAGTGGTGGATCTTAACACTGCAGCTTTCAGATGAAATTAATTACAGATTATACAAAAATCACCAGTTTTTTTATACTGCCGAAGTTCAAGCCTGTTATAAATCCTGCAACTCCAGAGTTCCACTGAAACACTGATTGTTTAGTTTCTCCTGGTTCCACTGAATTACTGATCCTTTAGGTTTTCCTGGAAGGCAAGAATAGGGCCTATGGTCTGTGGGCAGCCACTCGTACTGCACTCATGTCAGGGGACTTAGAAGTCCCATTTTGCTAAGCACTGTGCAAATATACAGTAAGACACCCAGGAGCCACAAAATGCTGGAAGTAAACCTTTTTTCTAAGAAAGTCAACCACAGCTGCATTCTAAACCATACAGATGTCTGTGTCATCAGCCACAGAGCTGGTGGTTTGTCTATGCTTCCTTTCTTTGACTTCCTACATGCAGTTTTAGTTTGCCACATGATGCTGCACAGGACAAAAGTATGTCTGCTCAAAAACATCAGACCAATTCACAGAGAACAGAACCCTTAGTGACTGACAATGCCAATGACTTATCTGCATCTTCTTCCCTTCCTGAGAA